CATTAGACATGAATTCCCTTAGGTTCATGTAGACCTTAAAGGCAGTGTCTCACCAAAGTTGAGTCGCGCGGATCTTCACATATTCTATTATAGGGACCTCTAAATAGGCCACTGCAACAAGTCCCACTCAATTTGACCCCCTCCGCGCTGAGAAAAATTTGCTTAAAGTGGTACGCGGAGAGCGGCTTGGTACGCGCGGACGACTCCTTCGGTCTCCTCCTTTATGCGTTTGAACAAGTCCCTCCACTTGGCATCCACCTCCCCCCTGTTGCTGCCACTGTGGCTGAGGCTGAAGTTGGAAGATACAACTCGTCCACGTTGCTTCCGCGGGGCCTCCAGAAAACGGAGTTTTTGGAAACTTCATGCGATTTTAAGCATACAATTGCTAGACAGGGTCCGACAGGCTTGCAAAATGCAAAAATCTCGGCAACTAAATTTTGGTGAGACACTGCCTTTAAAACATCTCCTTGGAACGGGTGTATTTTTGCAATGCTTCTTCCAATGATCGTGCGCCAAAGAATAAGTTATCAACGTAGATATTCTGCCTTACCTTTGGTGCTAGTGCGTCATCCGGTGCCGTGCGCTCTAGGTGGAAGTCGATTGTGGCGCTTGAAGGCACAGTTCACCCAGATTTTCGACTTCCACGTTCCTGTCGTTTCAGGGCCATTTCGTGTCCCTGCTTCCGAATATGTAGTCGAGAATGCGCTCCAGCGACAAATAACTGCCAGGTTTCCTTCTCCTCGTTATTTCCTTGAATCGTGCAAAGTGTTATTGGGCGTTGTGTTTCCTGCATTGTGCAATCCTGAGGGTAGGCGGGCTCATCTTGCTTGAAAGTGTCACGAAGTTCCACAAGTGGCCACAATCAATTAATATTCTTGGTTGAACCTCTTTGCCTTCCATAGAAAGTGATAGTGGAAATTGTTGTGTTTCAATAAATTGTAGATCCTTTTGATTCAGACTTACTCGTTGAATTGCGCCCGTAATGAAATCTTCCTGTACAATGGATTTCCTGCAATGTGCCTTATTTATATTTGAGTTTTGAACTCGGTTAATCCGCAAATTTTTATCACAGGTTTTGGTGACCCGAAGGTGCTTGTTGCAGGGAGGTGGTGCCGTGCGTGGGTAGCTTCAACTCGTCCGCTAAGCTCTTGTCTATGAAAGAGAGTTCTGAATTCTTGTTTATTAGAACGGTACAGTTTTTGTGTCTCCTTCCCAGCTCACCACATCTGCTGAACCGGCAGGCAGGAGAATGACTTTGCCGCAGCTTGTCCTTTCAATCGTGCAGTTTTGAAGACTTGATAGATTTTTGTTGCATCTTATCCTGCTTTTCGAACTTCTTGGTTGTACTGTCGTTGCCGAAAGCTCTTCCCTTCTTTTGCAAGGGGTTATTGTCAGAGAGATATTGCTCCTTGCCAAAATTCCTTGTTTCCTTGTGCGAGAAAGCACTTTCGGAACGAGGTTCGTGAAATGCCTTTACTTTTGTGCAAATTGCAGTGTGATGTTTTCCTCCACACTTGCGGCAGCTAACGCTGTTGCATGTGCTTCTTCTGTGATAGTTGGATCAGCAATTAAGGCATCTTTTCGACGCTACCAAAAACATTCTTTTTCCTTCAACTGTAGGAACTGTAGGGCAGATAACCCATCTGTGGTCCTTGCTTCCGCAGCATTCCCAAGCATTGTTAAGATGCAATCTTCTTGATTGCTTGCGTGCTAAGGTGCGAGTATCTCGTCTATCTTTTTTCTTGTGTGAAAACTTCGTCAATGGCTTTGAGCCACTGATCGAATGTCCAACTCCCTTCCTCCTGATGACGAAAGTTGTTTTTCCATGGCCGCTCTTCTTATGCGTACATGAAATTTTTGTAGGAAAGTTTGTACCTTTAGCTGGTTATCAAAGTGCTCTAAGTGCTCTGTGAGTTGGGCAGCTATGGCTGACAGCTTATCGAAGAGCTGTTTTTGGTCCATAGTGATTGGTCCTTGTGCAATGCAGGTTTGGAGATGATGGTTCAATCCTAGTACTATCCTTGATTGTTGCCGTATCAGTCAACAAGAAGTTGGATAGCCTTCTCATAGTTTTCTGCTGGAACGAAGAGTTTCGATGTTGATTACTTTGCATCCCCTGTAAAGGACAACAGCAGATAATTGAGTTTTTGGAGCCTTGTCTGCTCCCGGTCGTGCACACTGGCTCTTAACAGAGCCCAAAAGTTGTCCCATTCCCACTTCTTGCCTGAGAAAACTGGGATGGGTACATGATATTAGTTGTGTGCACGTGAAGTTTCATTATTATTTCTTGTGCGGACTCTAAGTATTTGTCTAGCTGTTCCTCTTCCTCATTATCTGTGTCTTCTAATCAAAAGCTTCTGTGAGTTTATGAGGAAGGATTTTACAGGATTGATGTTTTCGTCGCACAGTTCTAGTTCGCTAGTTTGATTTTTTGTGCTTGCTTTTGCTTGAGGTCAGGTGCTACGGGATCGAGAATTATAGATGACTCGCACAACCAGTTTAGCACGTTATCAATTCGTTCAGTTGCCAGTCCTTTATAGGCTCTTACTGTTAAGATCATCTTCGCTGTCGTGTCAAATTACGTGCTTATATCTCGGAACCAGTGAGATCAAGAGAGTCTCATACCTTTAGGTGCGGCTTAGATTCCTCTACAATTGGTCCGATGCCCCATTTGAATTGACACGTGTGTCAGCTAGCTTGCCAAGCGGGACTTTGGGCACGTGAGCTAGTCGGTTCGAATGTTACCTCAAACTTGGGTAATCAATTATTAAGGCTAACAAGTAACAAAAATACGCAAACGTGCTAAACTAAATCCTACAACTACTCCAAGTGGAAATAACAAGATAAGTAGCTGTTCACGCAAATTGTGATTCCCTATGATGGTGTAGTGCGGAGAACATGTCGTGCAATGAGTTGCGCAGAGAAAAGGCTACACCATTGGCAAACTAAAAGAGGACAGTGACCATCCTAACCGCTAGCTTATGTTCAGCAAATACATAAACATAAATCAAATGCATAAACGTAACACAAAGAATGTCTGTGAAGCAAAGGAATAAAGCCTGCACATAACAACCATCAACGCATTAGCTGTCTGTGATTCTGTTGTTATGTGATCCGCATTGATTCTCCGCATCTCTGTGAAGATACTGACTCATGAGTCGGTATCTTCAGGTTTACAATGACATTCCGCTTGTTGAAAGGCAAGGGAGAATACAAGAACTGATTGGAAAACAAACCTTCCCTATTTTGGAAAACGAAAACCCTTTCTTTAGTAAGGTATGCGACGCGGGCGTTAAGATAACAATCATTAATACGCCATCAGAAATATCGTGATTTTGGAAACAGCGCAATTTTCTAATGCTACACTGGGTATGACGGATCCAATCAAAACACAAATTTGAAAGTTATAGTGCGTCATCTACTCAAGCCGCGCGAAAAGGCTTTCAATCACATCCGAAAACATTGTCGTGATTAAGTGAAGAACTTCCATACACGAAGTTTGAGCAAATCTGCAATTTTTACCCATCTCGTATGCCCTTTTGGCAGCACAGAAAAGACGATTTTGTGCGAGAAAACTGCGATATTCGGATCATCATTTCGGATAACCCCCATGGCCCAAACTTGAAAACGATTCAATTTTGAAAATTTGGGCCCAATTTTGGATAGCCGAATAGCTCCTGCTATTATTACATCATGTAGGACCATGATGTCAATGATTAACAATGTGAGGATGCGCAAAGAAATGCAAAACAACACTTACCGCAAGTTTTCCATGCATTTAACGCGAACTTTGCAACGAATAAAGTCTGTCGCCAGCGTTTCTCTTGCTACACATAGTGCAGCACGCTATCATTCCGCGCGCGATTTCGCGGTTTGGAGCGTGAGAACCAAACGAATGCTCTAACAGTCTTATAGAAAACCAGTGCGTTACGTCTGCTTTGCAGAGGCTCGCACTGGTCCTACAATTTCTCACTCATTCCAGCAATAGTGACACTGAAAGTCACCGACCAATGCCAACTATCGCAAATGATTGTAAGCAAATTCGCATGGAGAAACTTTTTGCAGAAGAACGAACGCAAATTTGAATAGGTTTTTGAGTTCTTCACGGTTCAAGTAGTCGCCATATGAACAATAACACCGTGAGCTTCATTTTTGTGCAAAAAACTCGTCAAATGCTCTGATAAAACCTTGGCAAATTATTCATTTATGCAGTCAATTCTTTTTGACGCTCTCTTTGTGAACAGTGGACTTTTGATCCATTTTTGGACCTATATTCATGGCCTGCACATTTACTTGCCATACGCATTCGCGACTTCACAAAAAATGGGACTACGGACTCATTTTCGCGGGCCAGAAGCAAAGTGGATCCATTTGACGAGCAGCTTCTGAACGATTTACTCAACGAATCTGCTCGTGCTTTTGCACGTTGAATTTCGCGTTAGCAGCATGCATTACACAGAATTTGAGCTCAGAACGTTGTCCATCTGCTCTAAGAATTTTGTTATACAACACACACACACATACACACATACACACACACACACACACACACACACACACACACACACACACACACACACACACACACATACAGCGCCCTCCTAAAATCTATCTGTTCTCCCGATTCGGCAACAAGGAGAAACAGTGCCTTTCTTCTGACCTGGAATGATATCCAGGAAGTCCTCGCGAAATGGGCTTTTCGTGCGAATAAAATGGACTAAGTCCATGCGTTGCGATAATATGTCGCATAAGATATGTTATCTTTATTTTGAAAACTTTTTGAATTTATCATTTCGGGTTTTTAGAAAAGTTATGATCGCATTTTGGTATTGTAAGCAAAGTGCAATGCAAAGCATTTTTTTGGCAACTTTAGCTAACATTTCCTTTATTTGAAGGTAATATTTTGGTGCTACCGATTCACATATTTGGTCAACTCATGTACAAAGTTTGCAACAGAAAACTTTGACTTTTCGGTCCCATCCTAAATGACTTTATTTCAGCGTCGTACGAGCTCGTTCTCAAGACGTATTTGCCGTTTTACAAGAGTATTCCAAAAAAGAAAATTTTGACAATTGATGCTCAAGTGACAATCAACATGCTCGTTCGCAATCCAACAAATGTCATAGTCCTTAATCAAGCTGGGATTTCCATAATAAAAGAAAATTGCAGTGCGACTTTGGTAAGTTGCTCCATCTTATATTAGCGAATGACATGGAGGCTGCGTTTGTTGTAATCACTACGCACTTTAGCCTTTTATTCTAAAAAAATTATTCCATGGACTTAGAAGACCAAAGCTGTTACTAACTGCTATGAAATAGGCAGTTTTACAAAGATCACGATAAAACTTGCAGGATATTGAGTTGTTACACATTACATACTGATGTATTAGGATGACTTGTAGGATGACTTGTAAGGTTCACTTTTATTTACTTCGTTTATTTATTCATTTATGCATTCGATGATGCACTCAACGAACCTATCAGTTTAACAAAGCTGTCTTTGATACTTTCCCGTACTTTCAAGTTTAACTTTCGTAATTTTCTGGGATAGACCATAAGTACTTATATGTATACGATTGATCTTTCAAAGTTTACTAGTACTACGTTGAAGAACTTGTGATGCCAAGGATTTTCACCCCTTTTGACTTCTAGACACGAAAACTATGGGTTTGTACTCAATTATGTGTAAGCATATACAGGGTGTGCCAAAAAGGTGTGCACACTGTTTGATCGTCAATAACTCTCTTGTTTTCATGTCTTTTGCCAAGCGTGAGGTACCATTCTGTAGAGCGAGCGACAACTTAGATTTACAGTATGATGACTTATCAGTACTCTTCATCACTGTAGGATTACGGTATGAATTTCGAGGAGGATTTTAAGCTATCAAAAGCGGTATTTTGCATCAAAAACAAAGCCAAACAATTCAGAAACTCTTGAAGTGAGCTAATCGAAGTCGCTGATTTAGAATGTGAAGTTTGCACTCAGTGTAGTGCGTTTTTCTAAAGCTACTTCAGATTTAGATAACAACTGTTTTTCCATTGTTTGTCAGAAATGTGATTAAGCCATCAGGAAAGCTCGAAAAACTTGTGAAAAGCTTTATAGTAAAATCAACATGCCCGAAAACCTTGCTACACAAATTTTCAGATTTTTTGAAATTATTTTATCAAGAGGCCTATTCCACAGTGACGCTATATGCTGAAAGTTCATACCGTAATCTTACAGTAATGAAGAGTGCTTGGTGATTTGTTTCATACTGCAAATCTAAGTTTATCCTCGCTCTACAGAATGGCACCTCAACCTCGATAACAGACATGAAAGCAAGAGAGTTATCAACGATTGAACAGTGTGCACATCTTTTTGAGACACTTTGTAGAGTCTTACTAAGACCCACAACATATATATATATAAGATTTTGTTGGAAATTCGGATTTTTTGAGGAATATTATGTTAGTAATAATGACTTTGTTATGTAAACACATTTGGTACATACAGCTGTGACTCTATGGTACTTCATAGTTTGTCCTTGCGGATAGTAAAGGAGTCACGCCATTTTCAAGCCACAACGTTGGCGATCAGGATCTGGGCCAAGAAGACCGCTCATCGATCAGAGAAGGAAGCTCTCCACTGTTCAAGGACAAGATGAATTCTTCCAGGGGTCAAGGAAAGGTCAAGGACAAGGAGAAACCTTACGCCGCAGGAAGACTCACCGCCAAGGACTATCAAGGATCAAAGACAAGGAAGAACCGCAAATACGACACCAGAGCTTCCTCAGATAAGTTAACACTTCCAGTAAAAGCTTTAATAGATCCACAAAGAGTGAGGAACTCTTACCAGGGAACCAACTATGCCGAGAGCGACAGAGAAAAGCATGGCTAAGATTCTCAGCTGGAGAAGATCGTGGGAATGGCAGGACAGTTGCGTTTCCAACACGAAGAGATGATGGCATTGTCCATCAGCCTTGCGAGAGGGCCAGAATGCTGCCGTCCAAGATGCTGGGAAGGATCATTACGATCAACTCAGTAAAGAAGTTCAGATGTTTATTTTCAACGAAGACACGAAGACACTGGAAACACATTCACATTAGTACGACAGGTATGGTACAATTATAAAAGATGCTGTTTTACCAGACAATGAAAAGCGGGACTTGATTCTTATGAAACTGATGAGGAATCGTATCGGATATATGCTGATGACGTTTTTCCGTTGAAACCATGCGAGATTGATTTCGAAAAAACAGTTGCAAATTTGCAAAAACTTTTCGCATCTAAGAAGACACTTATACGCCGACTATGAGTGTCTCCAGGTCACTTGCCAGCACTGACTTCAACTTACGTACCCTTGGAGAGTACGCAAACCGAGTTGAGAGAATGGACGAAGACGCCAGACTCAAGGAGGTGGATTTTACGGCAATGAAGACACTATATTTCGTAGCAGGCCTTCAGGACCCCTCGCTTAGGGAAGTCCGTCTAAGAACGATCCGCAGGCTGGACATCCACAGAGGAAACATCAGTGGCAATAGACGATCTTGCTAACGAGTGCGAAAACTACACCGCATTGAAGATGGACAACACAGACATGGAAGGGGCTCGAGATATTCATGCGGCGTGGAAAAAGAAGATAAAGTGCTTTAGCTGTGCAGGAACGCATAAAAGAAGCGAATGTTTTCGTCTCCCTCTTTGGAAGAAACCTAGAAAACTACTACTTGAAAGAGCACAGCCGAAAACGGTATACGCGGCACAAGTGAAAATCGGTGTTAATCTTAGAATTTTTTTTACATCGAATGCGAGTTAGCGGTTCGTAATTATGCCAAAAAACTCGAACAAATCTCCTTTCTTTACTCCTGCAATCTTTCGAGTCAAAATTTTTTGTAAAGTTACAGTACCAAAGTTTGATATACCCGCTACACTGTACCCAGCGCGTTTTGAGAAGAGAAGCGTCAGTTTCCTTGAACGGCTCAAAACGCATTGGATTCGGTACGCTCCAACACATCCATTCTTTACCTAATTAGTTTTTAACCATGATATGAGGTAGATTAAGCTTTTTCGATAGGTATTCTGTTTTGACACTTGGAAAACCTCGTTCTCGTCGTGTTTTTTTCATTGCAAAAGAAGGTTTTTGCTTGAAAAACCAATATCCTTGTTCCTTCTTGATCAAAAACTCAAAGATTATCTTAGACATCATAGTTCTTGAAAAACTGAACAAGCTCATGTTTATTTTTACAAACTCAGATTTTTCTAGGCATGCTTGTGTACAGAGCGTTCGCAGCGCCGGAGTCTTGCCTCATTTGTTTACTTAAGTTGTGCACTAAACTGGTTGATCTTTGCAATACAAAAAAAATTTGGTCAGTTTCACAAATTTTTATGTGTGGTGAATTTAGAATGGCGAGGCTGTCGATATACAAGAGGTTGATTTTGATCACACACACGAAAGAATTAGCTTTTATTTACGAGATAATCTACCGGCAGGACGAGAAGTCATGCTAAAGGTTTGTCTGTTTTCAATAAAACATCCCAGCAGCATAGCATCTGCCTTTGCCACAACTACTCGATTACTGCCCACAGACCACTTGTAAACTTGAAACAACCACAATATTTTTGTCAAGTTTCAAACTTCGTAAAACTATCTCACCATTATTAAACGAGATTTTTTTGCAAACAAGTTTTAGGGGTTTCGGATAGTTTTAGGACGTCGGAAACAAAAAAGTCGAGTGTCTACTTTAACAAGATTGACGACGGAAGGCGAGCGCACCCGCGACGAAGTTTGAGTCTCTCTCGCGCGCGTGCTCTCTGACTATTTCTAAACTTTTACTAGACTTCGAAGCTCCGCCTCCTAACCGCCAATCCGGTTGTATCAAAAAGTATTTCGTATATGCTCAACGCTCCAGTTGCGGATACCCTTTCGAGCTTGATCTCAATTTCGACACGAACAAGCTGAAGAACTGTACGAGCTCAGACGACGTTGTGTAGGATACCATCTAAAAGCGATCGCTGGGAAGAAATGGAAAGTTAACCACTCCATTTTCTCGATACCGGCATTATCGTGTCAGTCAATTGTCTGGATAGCGATCTTATTAGGATATCCACGCTGTCAGAATATAATCTTCAAATTAGTTTGATCGGACATTGCCCTCATTGCAAAGACTGGATCTACTTGAAAATGTATGAGTAGTTCAAAATCAGTAAGTAATTAGTACTTCGAAGGGATACTTCACCTTTCATGTTGTCGTTTGCTGTAGTAATCGTTGATATGGAATATTACAAGGCAAAGCAAAAAATTATCATCTATTCAAAGTCCTTTTCACAGGTATGCGAAGACCATTGCTCCTATCTTCTGGACACGGTGCAGCAAAAAGCCAGATAAAAGTTCAGTGCTACTTATGCTACTTTCTTCTTTGTCTGGATACACAGATGGCCTGCTTTCAAATGGCGTGGGACCTGAGCATAAAAATTCTACTTCTCGCTTCAGACGTCCACAAGTTTCTTATTTGCTATCGGTGGCTGCGTTCACAAGTTCCAAATGCAAACAACGTATCCAGCTATTTTCTCAGTTTTTCTATCCATTCCAAGAACAGTTCTGCCCACCTTGATGGTTGTCTTCCTGGAACACCTTTGCCAAAAATTCACCATAATGTTGTGTTGTTGGCAGCGTCCAACTGTTTTCTGTCCTTTTGAAGATGTGATCTGCTATTGAAGCTTCGTTTCGCAAAGTCCGTGGGGTCATGGGACGAGACATTTTCTCTTTTTCCTGTGGCCGTACTCAGTAACGAACCTTGAGGGTAAACCTTCCCTTGAGGGTAATTTTTACCTTAAAAAGCATGAATATTCGCGAAGCATAAGTACCCTCGAGGGTAAACTTTACCCTGGAAAGGAATAACCCGTACTCACGAACGTGGCTCATCAAAGTAAACTTAACCTTGAAGCAAGATTGAATTTACCTTGACACTCTGTACAAATATAAAAGCCTTTCGATGCACCACTTGTTCTCAACGATACTGTTCCGGCGACAAACATATATTTCAAATTATTATTATCTCAAGTTTCTCAAGTCCTGTTTTCGTCTCGTCTAATCTATACATACAATACCGCTCATGATTCGTCAAAAAAGTTGCCGAACTGTGGCATACTGCCGGAGTGCGGCAGAGTGCGCCACACTCCACTAAAGTCCGCCGGAGTGCGGCAGAGTGCGCCACACTCCACGAGAGTCCGTCGGAATGATCGTCACATCGCCATATCTCGCTTCAGAATGGACGAGTTCTGAATCCGAAGACGCCGTTCGATTCAGCTCGGCGAGACGCATCATCTTATATATGAAGCTGAACGTCTGTTTGTCTGTACGTATGTTCCAAATAGAAAATTCCATTTCTGAACCTATTTGGATCAAACTTGGCACACATACACTTCGGGCCCCGGGGGTGTCATAGGCTACTTTTCGTCGTTGAGCGATATCGATTTTATCGATTTTCATCGATTTTTCAAAGTTCACCTACGGGGCCGGGAGGTGGCACAGGGAGGTAAGTGAGCATGGGGATTCCGAATACAATATTAGTTTGCAGAATTATCGATGATTATTTTGGTTGATTTCAGTGTGCTGATAACAGTATTATCATTGATCTGTCGCTGATGACACATAGACAGTTTACTATAGGAGTATGGTAGAGACCCACTCTGATCGAAATTGTTCTAAGATCTGCTCAAGATCACAATACCGCTCACAAAATGTCAAAATTCCGTGAACTTCGCGGAATTCCGAGATTTCCGCCAAGTGCGCGATAATCCGGGACGTTCGCGACATTTCAGGATCCGCGAAACCATGCGAATCACGCACAATACGCAACGCCATAACTTCCTTCCGAATGAATTTTCGAGTCCAGAAGAGCATTGTGTTCAGATCCTCGAGGCAAATATTTTGATATACAGTATGCTCTCGATATTCCGTTTCCAGTTTTTTCGAATTTTTTCTGTGGAGGTCCTTTCGCAAGGATGTAACGCAGTGTTTGTGTAACATAAAAGATTCCAGTAAGCACTGTTCGGTAGAACCAGCTGCAGACTGTCTTCCAAAAGAGATAGAAGCGTTGGTGAATTTTGGAAAAATCACGCGTTTCTAAATTTTACTCACCGTAACCTCCTTCGGAATGAACATTTTCTGGATCCGAAGAAAGCTTTGTGCTCAGTTCATCAAGGCAAGTCTTTCGATATACAGCATATCCTTGATATTCCGATTTTAATATACTCAAATCTTTCTGTAGACGTCTTTTTGCGAAGATGTAAGGCAGCGCGCAATGCCCCTAGTAGATTTCAGCAAGAACCTTTCGATAGTACTTTTTCTGTAGATTACGTAGCGCTAAAAAGTAGTCACAGGCATCTTTCCAATGGAGGTAGAAAGGCTGGTAAATCGTAAGAAAAAATCTTGTTGTCCCAAATTCTACTCGTCACAACCTTAGAATACGAGGCTGTCTTGCTAAGCAGATGTGAGTTTTGTAATCACCAGGTCGGATAACCCTTATGAACAAGTTTTCCGAGATGTTCGGATGATTTCATTTTTTCTTGCTTTACGCTCTGAAGCTGGCCGGTGGATTTTGGTCAAAATGTTGATGATCTTGAATTGTAAAGAAACTCCGCTCATAGAGGTTTTCGAACACGCTGCGAATGAAAATTGTGTTCTCTGTCAAGTATAGGGTCTTTTTGCAGAGATATGATGAGAAGACCGCAACGGATTCACGAAAGCTCCTATTCGTAACTTCACCTCCACCTCCCACGTATCTGTCAGAAGACCTGCCTGCTTGCTTTTCTAAGTCAAAGTTGTGCTGTGCTATCGAAAGTTGAGATGTGTTATCGAATGGTGCATGACTCAGGCTCCAGTCTATAAAATTCGCCGAGTTACGAGCCTACGAAAACACGTTCTCATGAATTTTGCTCAAAATGTGAAGATCGCTATTTCGTCGAAATTCCACCATGAGTGCTTGTACAACACGCTGATCAAATCTTTTCAAATTCTTAATGGATCTTATTGTGTTAGATTTGGTGGTTTGAGCTCTAGCCACAAAACAACTTTGATATTTAATTGCTGAAGCACACGCAAGTACCATATTCAACGAAAAGCCGCGTGGGCCCGTTTGACGCGCAGTTTTTAAAGGTCCCAAATATCGGATCAGCTTGTGCTTTTGCACTTCTTACCTACATGCTAGTAGGGTGCTATGACCAAAATTTCAGCTCAAGACCTTGCCTAAAAACGTTTATGAATTTTGTGACAGACAGACATAAACACACACACAGACAGCAGACACGCTCTTTATTATAAGTCATGATGATATATGACAGTGGCGTACCCAGAATTTTCGTTATGGAAAGGGGGGGGGAAGAGGACAAAAGATTTTTTCTGATAAAGGCGCGTGACGTTAGCCACGCACTCCGAAGAAATTTTTTGGTATGCTTCCTAAAATTTTTGCGGGATCACAACCCCGAAATTTCAAAAAAGGGGGCACCTCTCCCCTGTGCCCCCCCCCCTCCCTCTCGGTACGCCTCTGATATATAGGTAGATACAACTTATATAGGTAGATACAGATAACTTGGGTTCGTAATTTTCTTGATACGCTCGTTGTGGAAGTTTTCTAGGGATTTGAGAGTTGTATTTTGCTCTTTTTGCGAATAGATCACGGTGAATGTTACAACTCACAAACTTTATAAGGAATTATGTGCGATCACAGCATCCAAATTGCGCTGCAATGTGACCGATTCCATGAGCCACTTTTCGCGGCAATTTACTGGCCACTTTACTGATTTATTGTGTTGCCTTACGAAAAACAAAAACTTATCAATCATTATTAACTCTTTCAACTCTGTTTTAAGCCTTTAAAAAGATTGATATAACTGAGCTAACGCTTCAGAGTCGTATTCTCGAATTTGGTTTTGATTTTCTGGTAGCTCAAGTGCTGGTACTGCAGATGTGTGAACGGAAAAACCTCCAAAGTTTCTGATCTTTCCAGGCTTTCAAAAACGACTTCTCCGAAGCTTTAGTCCAAATAAAGTGTTAAGCAATTCTTGACACACAAGGCTCAACAACCAAATTAAAAGTTGTACGCAATGGTAAGGTTTGGAAAACCAATCCACCGGGAAGCGCTGAAGGATCCGGAGCAGAAGCCGAGTAAAAGAAGAAACGGAGATTCTTGCGGGAAAGTAAAACAATAAAGCATGGAACCGGGAACAGCTTTGTAGGCTTCAGCCAAATATTGTGTATCCTTTGCCAGATCGATTTGGACCAAAAAAACCCAACCAAACCCCCACGGTGCTGAAAAACTCTAATGGGTCAAAAAGCAATAGAATTTCCGCTATTGGAATCATGATGCAGTTAAAACCAATGAATAATTAATTACATGGGAGTTTGAGGAGTTTAGCATCGACTGCACTATCAAATTTGAAATGGGCAGCATTTTGCTAACAAGGGAAGCGTGTTTAGTCAAAATGGCCTTTCCATATGAAACCCATACTGCTTTGAAGAGCATCAAGAGATGAGTCCAAATCTACCTTCCAAATCTGCCAAACTCCCCTGGACGCCGAGCTATGATCGTTTTTCATGTCAAGAAATTGAATGCAAAACTGGAACAAAATCGCTCAAATTTGCTCGGTCCAGTGTCAATTAACAGAGTTGTTTATGCAGTGGATACAATTTGTGTGATAAGCTAATATTTAGAATTGCTTCATCTAAGCGCTGGTGTAACAATCGATTTTACCTAAATTCTGCATTCATTTTTCGTTCAAAAAAACGATCATAACTCGGCGTCCAGAAGCGCTTGGCAGATTTGGAAATCAGATTTGGAAGCATGGTGCAGTACTCTTCAAAGCAGTATGGGTCCCTTCTGAGAAAGCCACTTCGACTAAACACGCTTCCCTTGTAAGCCTGCACATAGTACTAAAACAGATCAAAAATGTGACTGTACTGCAGATCCCGTACTCTGCGCCAATAAACGAAGGAAGAGATGGACTTTACCAAAATTTTTATCAGGACCGCAACAGAAAAACAAAGTAAGACAGATATTTAACTATTCGATTATATTAGGTCGTCCCGAAAGTTTTGTCGGTTTTTCAAACCACCATAAAACCATGAACAATAAACAGCTGAATGAGTTTTGACATGCTCGATGCAGCTTTTTCTTCTCTTTCTTATGGATACATTCTCGAGCCACAATCTTGTACGCTATTTTCGATATTTGTTGAAATTCTCCATCTGCCAATTTTATCTGCTCAAAGTTCGGCTAATTTCAAAAAAATTCATTCTAAAGTTTCTTAAAATGATTTAGTATGATTCTAATAGACCAATTCTCGGACTACAAGAATACACTCTTGGATTCTCCTAATCTGCTGTTTTGAGCTTGAAAAAATTATTTCTTAAGAGATCTCGATTTTTGGCAAAGTCGTGAAACGCGCAACTGCAGCAAATACACGGAAGTTTTCAAAGTTTCTGCGATTTGAAAAATGATTCTTATTAAACATCATTTATGCAACATGACCAAGTTTGATTTGCCTTGATAAAGCAGCTTTTTGGAATTTTCGGTACTTTTACGTGGTAAACATAATTAAAAAGCCGCGGTTTTTATTAAATAAAAAATTATACTGGACTTGGTAAGCGGCCCATGTAATCTAAAATAGCTGCAAGGTAGACAAAAGTTTGCTCTACGTAACAGTTACCAGCACTCTTTGAAAACACCAGGATAAAAAATTTTAAAATTCAGGAAAGATTTGGCGTTTTTGGTGAGCTGCTAAAAAGCCATGGCGATAACATTGCAAAGACAATTAGATCTGAGAGAAAATATGACTGTATGAAAGAGGATGAAAATCTGAATCAAATGATACCTAGCTTGCCCATGGATTGGTGTTCTGGGAGTTTCAGTGATCGATGAAAGAAACCGACAAAACTTTTGGGACAACCTAATATTACAGGGAATATTACGGAAGGCGACATCACCAATTTCGCAACACACAAACACTGTCCGCTTTTTGTGGCAAAAACGATGCGAGGAGGAGAGGGAGGAGAGGGGGGGGGGGAGGGTGTTGTTGCAGGCACATGACCACATGTCATAAGTGACATAGCGACTTTGACCAGGAGTTGGAGAGGAGGAGATACGTTGCTCTCTTCTTGCATGTAATGTGTCTATCAAAACGCCAGCTGACAGCAGACAGAGCTAAACAAGTCATTTTGTAACTACACGTTGTGCGTGACTGCGATACCCTGATATACTATGGAAGTCATGAAAAGCAAAGAATTACTGGGTTTCAAGAGTTCTTGTTCTTCCTCAAGTACGACCGCGTTGACTGTTAAGAGAAACTTTTGCACTCTTTGTGGATTCTAGAATAGTCAAAAATTAAGCAATTGAACGTTACATTCATAGCTTTGTGATTTAGGGTAGCAGCTGTAACACAAATGGAGCCGACAAGTGCTCGAAAGATGGTTCCTTGTTTTGATGAGCCAGAGTATAAGGCAATTTGGAAAGTAAAGATAATACATCCTAAAGGAACCACAGCGATCTCAAATGCGAGGACATTAGATGTAAAAACGTGAGTGATAACTGCATTCGGACTGATTTTGATCAAAACATAAGATTTTTTCACTCATCAGGAGAACGAGTATTCAATGATACGGATTTAGGTAACATAGTGGGAGACTTCAAAACGTAATGCTTATGAGGGAAACTGCGGAAATAAAGCGTTTCTTGCACTATCATGGACCTAATTTCCAATACATCTAGTCAGGGATTGGTACAATGTGAAAATTTTCAAAGCGCGCATTGACTTCGCAAATCACTGCATGCCATATAAGAAAACAGAGATGAGAAAACAGAGCTAATGGTAAAGGTGGTATACAAAGTTACACTGGCATATTAAGAATAGATGTATATCACTAGATGCTCCAAACTCTAATTCCAAATCTGCCTTTTGTTTTAGCGGTTTGAGTACCCAAACGAAATTGTCTTAAAGTGTCAATAAATGGCATGAAATTATCAAAAAGCTGTACAAAAACTTCTGAAGGTGGATCAAATTTGTGGCAGTAGACTGAAACAAAAAAGAAACGCGGCAGGTAAAAATCTTCATAGGTGTTTTTGCACGAATTTTTGCTGACTTTATGCCACTCAAGGTCTGCGTCCCAGCAAAATGATGGGTACTCGGATATTACAATGTTGCAGTGGCAGATATACCCAACTAATCTATCGCTGAAGATTGAAGTCTAAGGCCCCGGTCAGACTTCACGCGACTTAATCGTCGCAACCTAATCGCCAAGATTCCCATTCATTTTCATCTCACATTCAAAAATGCCGGGCTGGAAAAGTATCACAACCGAATGCAAGTTGATCGGCATGGAATGATGTTGTAACAGTTGTCTCGTCGCGACTCAGTCGCGACGATCAAATCGCTTGAAGTCTGCCCGGGGCCTAAAGCAAATAAGCGCGTATAAAAACCCCAAAATCCGCTCCGGAAGTCTTCTGCACCCCGCTCACTTACACTAAATTGGAGCTACCATGGGCACGGAGAGTTTCGATAAAAGCTCATTTTTGTCGTTTTCAAGCGCTGAAAAGTCCGGATGTGGCTTCAGCACGGCGAAGTCTCAGAAAAGTGAAAACTCGGAGAGTAAAATTTTGCCGAGACACTGCCTTCCAAGATCGCCTCCACTCAGAATCCATGCAGCCAAATTTACTAAAATCCTATGAGGAGTTCCCAGAAGTAGACCAGCTGCGGTGGTCTACTCCCTCATAGTTGCTCTCCAAAAGAAGAAATTTGACCTGAAACTTCTTGCGCTCTATTCTTACACGGCAATCAACTTCGAGACGCCTGTACTATGTGAGGTGGCACTATTGCATGCGACGAGGTTTCTTGCATACGACGTGACTTTGCTGAAGCACTCGTCCCTTCTGCCAAACTAGGGCTTCAAAGACAATTTTAAGGCTTTTCAGAATGTGGGATTGTACATCATATTCAAATTCGGTTAAGGAAGTGCCCGATAACAATAGTAACGTGGAAGTCACTGGTCGTTGAAATCATGTGGAAGTGCTTAAAACTACGTTTTTAATGTTTCATAAGGAGCTTTGATGGTTGGCATATAGAGTACGTCCGTCACCTCTGCCTTGCAGAGAATAGCATCAGCTTCACCATCCATATGCCTTCCATGCTCTTCTTAGAAAAATCTGCTTTGCATTAAATGGTCAATGCCGACCACATGAATGAATTATTTTTTTTAAAGAGTTGCCATGTTGAAGCGGTATTAAACGGCAAACTTTCAGCAAAAAATAAAAACAGTCTTAATTATATTTCTTAAGAGCAACACACGTATGGATTTTTCAAGAACTAAACCTTTGTTGGGTAGCAAGTCAGTGGTTTATGCAACTACTCAGATAATCGCCAGGGCAATTGGTCAGCACACTCGCGCTCTGCAAGCGGTCAACAAAATTCAAGCCAAGCCTTCAGCGAGCGGTACTTCCCTGTTTTGCCAGCGAGCAGCAATACAAAATTTTCTGCAAGTGCTCTTCAAGTAATCGTTTTTAACAAGCGCTGGCCGAACTTTCATCAGGCGCTTCGACTCTTTTTACGCAGTTTCAAGCGTACGCCGAGCAAAGGTGGGACTCTATGTGGCAGAGGTGGAGTACTACTCTCTAACGGAAGATGCGGGGTAATTTCTTTTAGCGGAAGGTACCTACCAGCTGTGCAAAATTGTTGAGGGCCGCGCGGTCCTCCACAAAGGACCGTGCGGCCCTCGAAAATTTTGCATATTTTCGCGGAAAGTCCGCGAGAATGCGGCCACTGCGCCGCAGCTAATCTGTAAGGGAACCGCGATTGTTCTCCGAGCATTCGCCCAAAAATTGCAGAGATTCTCCCAAATTTGTGCAAGCGGACTGCAAGAAATCAGCGGACTATTTTTTCCGGTGCCCGCTTCCCCAAAAATCGCAAGGCCGCCTCCCCCGGTGATTGCCTGAGTATTTCTTTGAGTCCATTTTCGCAATTTAACATCTTTTCTTCTTGTTAATATGCTCGCACTTTGTCACGGCAAAACATTATGTGCCGTCAGATTAAGTGTACGCCAAAGATTTTTAAGGCGGCAAAGAGTGTTGCGCCAGAGTACCTCGTAGCCCTTTTATAGGAACGTGCTTAGCTCCTGGCGGAGTGGGGGGGGGGGGGATATAGGGCAAGGGAAAAAGGGAGAGAAAACATCTGTGGCGATTTCTGTTGTGAGGACGAATTTTATGCGTGGGGGAGCCAGTTGCCGCGCATACGAAGTTTTGCTTTCCTCATGCATCTAGCTATCAATGATTCAAACCGGACGACGTCAAATATCATTAAACGATAAAACAGCTTATTCCAAATGCTCCAACATAAGAATTTGGTAGCTTAAACAAAAGGAAGTTTCTTGTTGAAAAATAAATGAATTTTCAAGATGACTAAGGACTGCTTGCCGTAGAAACAATGACTAATGCGAAATTTTTGAGCGATAATTTTCATTCGTTGGGTGAAAACTTTGACAATCGAGGATTTACACTCTATTTTGCGCCGTTCCCGTGCGAATATAGACTCTTTGGGATTTTTTGCAGGGGAGCCCTCGATTGACAGAATTGCATGTGACATAAGTCAATATTTTTTGCGAAAGTGAAGAAACATGCCCGTTTCGAGCCAGCGCATTACGCCCATTAAATCCGCTCGTGCTTTTGCACCATGGACTTCCATGCTGACAGCGCCGCTATGCAAAATTTGAGCTGAGGATACTGGCTTGCCGCCCTCCAAACACACACACAACACACAATCTATGTGTTCCCGATTCGGTAACAAGAAGAGACAGTGCCCTTCTTCTGACTTGGAATAATATCCACGAAGTTTTCGCGAAGTGGGCTTTTCGTGCGAATAAAATGGCCTTAGTCCATGCGGTGCGATAAGATATCGCATTCGCGAATCCATTCATTCCATACAAAAATGCTTCAGCAAACCTTCCTCCAGCTTGTCTCAACCTGTCCCACTCTTGCAAACTCAATCCTACCAAATAATCGATGTCTAACTCTGATCTACCTTTACAATCAGTTACGTGGATACTCTCTTCTTTTTCATTTTGTAAAATTGAAGTTTCAAAATCTGTATCAGTTTTACATCACAGGCTATACGTTACCGTAGTAGTCAATATCTCAGGGAGATACATAAACAAAAAGCTGTGATAGACTTCGTTATACAAGACAAATACTCTTGTTACCTCATTTTCTTTATATGAACACAGGTCTAAACCTTTTGATCTAAACTACCTAAGAAAGCAGTGGGAGATTTTGGGCATCAAAGAGTATTTTTGGTGACAAATTGCAGTTCTAAAGAGTTTTTCTATAATATGAGTGTGATTTTTTTATATTTTCGTACGAGATTGAGGCCTGATTAATGTATAGATTATTGCTAATAAGATGTTAGTCAAAAGGTAGCCAGAGTAACTTTCTTGGAATGCAAATCCGTATAGGAATTCTTGCATCGGCCTGATATTTGGAAGCATTTAAGTTTGTTAACAAATAGCTTGGTGATTTTAACCATTATGATTTTAGCGTTTGTATGAATTTGGAAAAACACTGATTCCAGATTTCATGAAAAAAAATATGAAACACTTTTTCCACTCACTTTTATCATAAAATAGGCCAAAAACATTTTCAAAAAAATTGCAACCAAGAATGTGCAAAAAGGTTAAGGATGGGCTTAGTTCCAGCTCACCTTGCTGCTGGGAGTGAAGTGAGCTTTCAAGCCAATTTGAAATGAAGGTTAATCCCATTTCGCCCCATTCTAAATGGACTTCTCGTATAATTTTTTTCGCAAATGAGAGCTCACTCAAGGTTGAAATCACTTTCATTACAGCGTGCCAAGTGGTTGCGATAGGCTAGAAAATTATGGATAACGCAGGGCGAAAGCAGATTTTGAGCAATTTTCACCACGAACGAATAAAATGGGGTTTAAAGTATATTCCTCCAGTATGGACTTCCGTGGATATTATTCCTCGTGTTCATGTTACGTAAGCCAGGCATGATGCATAGATGAATCCGTAGTAACGCGCATTTCGGGGCTTTCCGCTTGTTAACACTTAGTGCAATTCGTAATTAATTTAAAATTTAGTCAACAAGGCGGAAAATGGACAATATCTACGTTTGAGCCGACTCCTATTATGCCAACGTATCTTCTCGCTCTTTTAGTGTCTGAATTTACATATAACGAAATGCAAACAAACAAAGGAGTAAAAGTGAGATGTTGCACAAGCTTGAAGCTGCTCAATTCAAACATATTTTTTCATTTTTTACTAGTTCCGTTTGTGGTCAGCTCCTGGTACAGAATCGCAAAGAGAGTACGGACTCAAAGTAGCTACGACTGTCATGGAGTCCTTGGAAAAGTACTTCGGAGTGAATGATGTCATGTCAAAGCAAGGTAGGTGATTTTGGTACTTTTGATAAAGGTGATTTTGTAGTACTGAAGTTGAAAAGCTTGAGCTTTAGTTTAGTTTTATCTCGGTAGGGCATTTGTCCATATATTAGGTTGAACCGAAAGTTCTGTCCCTCCATTTTCAAAAATTCGTAACTTCGCCAGATTTCAACGGATTTGCTTACTCGTAATTTTATTAGAAAGAATAGATCTTCCGCTTTCAAGCGCTGTTTTATGTAGCTTCTGCTTCGCACTGAGTGCCGAGATAAAAATGGAAAACTAAGACCATGTAAAGTTCGACCATTTTAAGTTAGGTCACCAAAAATCTGGAATGCTGCAGAAAAATCTGAAATCGTCAGTACATATGTTTTTTGGCCTACTCTTTGCAATTGTGAAGAGTTTGCGCTGTTTGGACGTTTCTGCGAGAAGTTATGATTTTCACGAAAATTGCCAAATTAATTAATTTTGGCGTTATCCATAGTAAACTCGATATTCATAACTTCTCACAGAGATGTCCAAACAACACAAACTTTTCACAGATGCAAAGGGTAGGCCAAAAAACATATGTACTGACGATTTCAGATTTTTCTGCAGCATTCCAGATTTTTGGTGACCTAACTTAAAATGGTCAAAGTTTACATGGTCTTAGTTTTCCATTTTTATCTCGGCACTCAGTGTGAAACAGAAGCTCCTCAAAACAGGGCTTGAAAGCGGAAGATCTATTCTTTCTAATAAAATTACGAGCAAGCAAATCCGTTGAAATCTGGCGAAGTTACGAATTTTTGAAAATGGAGGGACAGAACTTTCGGTTCAACCTAATAGTTTACCAAGTGCCAAACAATAAATTTTATAAGTGTCCCATGAAATGTCCATGGCAAAACATTTGAGAACATTCGCCCAGAGTTTTCTGCATTTTATGGCACCTAATGATATGGATCCATTTTATAGAGTGCCCAAATAAGTAAAGAAAGTTTGCAATGAGCTAATCCTTTGCTCAAGTTTCTCCATTTTTTTTATAGTAGTTCACTGAATTTTCAAAAAATCACTTTTTTGGAAGCGTTTGATTTTCGGGCAACGTCAGGTAAGAATGATCTCTCGACAAGGGGAAAAGTTGCAATCTCAATTTTTTGTAGTAGACTATAGACGGAGATCACTGGGCAAGTCATAAGCTCATACGCTATTATTCCTTCAGCTCGTCTTTTCGCATTATGAACTTTGCTTTAGATCTAGTTGCATTGGAAAACTTTGAAGCAGGCGCAATGGAGAATTGGGGATTGATTACCTTTAGGTTGGCGTAAACTGAGGTTTTAACCTTCAACGAACTTTCTACTTTTTTCTTGGCTATTTTTCAGAAAAGCCCTCTTGCTGGATTTATCTCAAAAGTCCCATCTGGATCCGCTAGAATTCAAAATAGAGCAGCATGAAAGGCGAAGACAAATCGAGACTATTGTCGCACATGAGCTTACACACCAGGTTTTGCAAATTTCTACCTACCAAAATTTACAGAAAGTGTTGAAAATGTAGTGTCCATGTAGCGTAAAAATCATTAATATAAATCTCCTCATAAAGGCTGTAAACCTTATGTGCTTTTGAATTGTACGATGAATCTATATCATAACTTATAGTAACGGGCTAAAGTTGTTTATGTGTTTTTGTGTGTGTGTGTCTGTGTCCTGTCTATAACGAAATCAATATAGCGAGTTCCAGCCAACGTCCTGAGCCCAAATTTTGCAAAGCGCATGTTACCAGCGTAAAGCTCCACCATGCAAAAAACACGAGCGGATTTGTTGGGTGGGTCCCTCAGAATTTGCGCTTCAGACGGATCCACTTTCTCGCAAAATTGGGTCCGTATCAACGCTTTTTGCAATGTCGTGGATATGTTTGGCATGTTTATGTGCAAGCCATGGGCTTAAGACCAAAAAGCGACCAAAGATCTAGTATTTATGAAAACGACGCGAAAAAGAAATGGTTGCGTAAATGATCAATTCGCCGTCGTTTTACCTGAGCTTTTGAGAAGATTTTTGCATAGAGATATAGCTCACGGTAATGAAAATCCTTACGACGATTGCGCAAAGTTCTTCTTTTGCGAAAAGTTATATCTCCGCAAAATCACCAATCTCACATGAAAAAGCTTCTAGAATGAGTAGTTGTTTACATTTTATTCGCGGTAGTCGGCATTGCGCGGGGAGTTTCAAAGCCATCCTTAGGCGAGAATAAGTAAGGCATATAGAGTAGAGTCAGTGCGAGTCTCAGTATGCCTTATTCATGATTCCACAGTGATGACTTTGAAACTCACCGCGCGAGGCTGTACATCATAAATGAAGTGTAAACAACTGTTCATTCTTGAAGCACTCCATGTAAAATAGGTAACTTGGAGAAAGAAAACTTTTTTGCCTAAGAGTAAATGCGAATTTGAAAAAATCATTGAATTTATTTTGGCTTGATAATTGTTATGAAGATAAAAGTCATTTTGGGCTACATTTTCGTGCAAAAATCAACATTGCCGAATCAACTCTCTACGCGATTACTACTTTTTGGCGCTGTTTCTACAGAAAAGCAAACTTTTGAGCACTTTTCGAGCTGGAATTCTTGAAGCGCGGATATGCTTGTCAGGTAAATCAGGATTACAGAATTTTGAGTTTTTGACCTAGTTTTGCGCGCCAAAAGCTAAGTGGACCCTTTGAGGCGCAAATTTTAAAGGATCCGCTTACTGGAACGGTTCGTTCTTGTGCATGGTGAGCCTACATGGTGGTACTGTATGCATGCAAAATTACAGAAGTTACGAGACTTCAAATCTTTCTCACCACCTTTTATTGAGTACTTTAGACTCGAACCCAAATAAATATATTTCCTGGAAGCACAAGACGGGGCGGTTATGCTACTTTCCCATCTATCGCTGCTTTTCATACGATATCACGGTTGCAATTTCAAACTCCATTTGTTGAGTGATTTATGGGGACATGGTAATTAAGAAGGCTGTTTTTCAAAGAGCATATTGATGCCAAGTTTCAGATGCGTTTTTAAGGTAAAACTGATGTTTTCAGTGGTTTGGTAATTTGGTAACGCTGAGCTGGTGGGAAGAACTTTGGCTCAATGAAGGTTTCGCTGCATACTTTCAAAACTTTCAAGTGCTTAGTCCTGCCAAGAGAGGAATCTCGATTGTGAGTCAATGTTTGCTAACACTTCCGCAACCAACAGTACTTCCTGAACACTTTCTAACGCATCTTATGTTCTTTGATTGCTAAATGACTTCACATTTACATCTTAACCATAGCGAAGCCGTCAAAGCAACTGCGGAAATCTGGACTATGGTTGAATTAGCTCATGTAAGAGTAAATAAGGGCCCGTCGTAAATCTCCCGTCGTCACAAAGAGACAATGTTGTGACAGGTGGATTATCTCGCGAGACTATGGCGAGGTATTCACAGGTTTGCCTCAAAACTAGATTGTAACGCATGATGCGTCAGACAATTAAAGGTTATGGTGAGGTGGCGATAAACAGCACTTTCAGTGAGCGGACGGATGCTGCAAAAATGGCAGTGAGCGACCAGCGACGGGCTATCAGCGGGCAACCATAATCTTCCATGATTCGGAAAGTAACTGCAGAGGGCGTTGATTACTACAAAAGAGCCAACGACGAGGCAGCAATGGAGAGGTTCGCAAGGTTTTTTTCAAGCCGGCAGCTTGATTCGTAACGCTATAATATGGCTGAAAGCTTTATCTCCTGTCGTTGTCCGCTAGAGTAGTCATCGTTGCTCTTGCGAAACCCTGTTGATGCGCGTTGGCTATATGAACAGGCAAAATACGAACGAAACGGTGGATTGGAATTAAGTATCATTCTTCTCTCTATAACGTATATGCGGTTCTTATATAATTCTTGCGTTTAACGTTGCCTCATCTTCAGTAGCAATTCTGCAATCTAATATGTTCCAAGCACCTCTTAACTTGGCATTACTCTCTTTGCTTGTGCCTGTAAAATACAAAACGTTGCGTTCTTTCGTATCCATCATCTCAAAGCGGGTGTCGAGCGTATTTCGTAAACGCCATAAGTTCCGATGTCAAATAACTGCCCTATTAAACGAGCACTTGATCGAATTTGATAGTATTTCCAAAATCCCTTGCTCAGGCTCTCAGTCGATTTTTGTCTAAACCTTGTTACACTAACAAGTTCATGTTTAGTCGAAGTCGCTTTTTTAGATTGGATGTATACCATTTTGAAGAGCATAAAACGCTGATTTCAAATCTGCCTTTCTTATTTGACTCGCGGACGGGACTTATGAGGTTTACTAGACAAGTAATAAATGTGCATGTAATATAAGATAAGTTGTATCATATTCAAGGGTATCATTACTTAGCAATAAAGCGTTTAGACCGTCTATTTGTGTGAGTGTATGTGTGTGTGTGTCTGTGTGTGTATGTGTGTGTGTGTATGTGTGTGTATGTGTGTGTGTGTATGTATGTGTGTGTATGTGTGTGTATGTGTGTATGTGTGTGTGTGTGTTTGTGTGTGTGTGTGTGTGTATGTGTGTGTGTATGTGTGTGTATGTGTGTGTGTATGTATGTGTGTATGTGTGTGTATGTGTGTGTATGTGTGTGTGTGTGTGTGTGTGTGTGTGTGTGTGTGTGTGTGTGTGTGTGTGTGTGTGTGTGTGTGTGTGTGTGTGTGTGTGTGTGTGTGTGTGTGTGTGTGTGTGTGTGTGTGTGTGTGTGTGTGTGTGTGTGTGTGTGTGTGTGTGTGTGTGTGTGTGTGTGTGTGTGTGTGTGTGTGTGTGTGTGTGTGTGTGTGTGTGTGTGTGTGTGTGTGTGTGTGTGTGTGTGTGTGTGTGTGTGTGTGTGTGTGTGTGTGTGTGTGTGTGTGTGTGTGTGTGTGTGTGTGTGTGTGTGAGTGAGCAACTCTGCAATCTAGTGTGTTCCTAGCACCTCTTAGCTCTTACTCTCTTTGTTTGTGCCTCTAAAATACAAAAACACTGCGTTCTTTCGTGTGCCATCATCCAAAGCGGTCTCGAACGTATCTCGTAAACGCCATGAGTTCCGATCTCGGATAATTACCCTATTAACTAAGCACTTGATCGAATTTGTTAGGTTTACAAAATGCCTTGCTCAGGCTCCCAGTCGATTCTTGCCTGAACCTCGTCACACTAACGAGGTCATGTTCAATCGAATTGACCTTTTAGATTGGATGTATACCATATTGGAAAGTATAAAACGCTAATTTCAAATCTGCCCTTCTAACCTGTGGAACATTTGCGGACGAGGAATTATGAGGTTTATCAGACAAAATAATAAATGTGCATTCGAATAAAACAAGTTGTATCTATTTAAGCGTATTGATGAATGAGGTGCTCTGATAATTATCACTGCTTCATTAAAAAGCTAGGAAAAATATTACGACTATTTTTTCTTTGCGCATGTAATTATTCGCTCTAATAAAAGTTCATAGCTCCTCGTCCAAGAGAGTTCCATAAAAAAGGAGGGCAAGTTTTTGCATTTACCTTTTTTGCTTTCCTACATAATATACATAATATTCTAAAAACCACTTTGACTAAACATGGTTCCCTTGTATTGGCATCGTTTTAGTGCTACTCCATTTTGCCTCTTTTGAGTGAAGTTTTTCGGATGCCTATCTACCTCTCTGAATATTACATGCTAAAAATTTGCTGTTCGCCTCTCAATCTTACTGCATATTCAGTATTTTTACCTGATCAAAGTTTGTCGTGGAAAATCTATCGTTTGCTTTACAGCTTCTATCTGCAAGTATCTTTACTTATTCAATTGTTATCTGCTACCGTTATGCAGTGTAAAGCATAGCGCATAATGCTCGCTTTTTTCGTCGCTGCGCAATTTTTGCGGAGCTACTGTTACAATTACACACCCGTCGTCCGCAATGGCAGTTGCTGTAGTTATCCAGCGTAACGGAACGCTGACAGTTTTTTGCTAAGGCATAATTCTTTAGCGATAATCGCGGCTATGGCGTCGCCTGTGCTACAAGGCGCCTGAGTAATATCGCTGACTGAAAGTTGCTTGCGAGGGTTTTTTTTTCGATACATGCCAAAATGCTTTAGGTCGTCTTTTTTTCGAGCAATAGTATTGCCTGCTGTTAAACTTACAAAAGCCACATATTACAACTAAATACTGGAGCTGGTTGCATTTACAGTAAAACAAATGAACACTGCTTAAAAGATAGAAATTCGTTTTTTTCCACTTTCCCCCCCCCCCCCCCCGATCGAGCGGTAGTTGCTAGCAGTTGTAAATCCCTTCCCTTTTGGAATCTTTGTCACGGCTGCAGCTTTCCGTGGATTAGGGATCTGCTCTAGTATAAGAGAATGCTGAAAATGTGGCTTAGGGGAACGGAAAGATGGGTGAGAAACATTCTGTAAAACGGCTGCGGTATGTCGTCAGAAGTAACCGGCTGCGATGTTTTCAAAGCTTTAAGTTTGTTTTGCAACCTCGATAGTGATGATCTCGGGAGTTATAGTTGGTATACGGAAGTTTTCACCTCTTACTTTTATTAGGTTACTACGGCAT